TCTCAGGGCCCTGTACACCCCATCTCCCACCATCCACACCCACACCCACACCCACACCCACAATCACGAACACGCGAATAAGTTACACTATCTGTCTTCCCCGATTGACAGGCCTTTGACTACCCTCTGATCGCTGGTCAGTCCATGGGCACGGCCGGAGACCCGGGATACTTCAAGATGGAGACTCACTACGACAATCCGGACATGAGAGCGGGTACATCTTCTCATACTTTAACCCTACATTTTTTACGCTCCCTTCGACACCAGTAATTTCATTGCATTTTTGTCTTAATATCCTCCGTTTGATTTCGCTTCAATATTGTTTGTTTGTATGGGTTTTTAATTTTGTTTTAATCGATATTTTTTTTGCTTTGGCGTGAGTTTCTAGCTGCTTTTCATCCAAGTGTTTTCCCTAAAAAAAAAATTTCTGAGCGCTCAATTCTTTCGCATTTATAGAGTTTGATATTTTACGTTGAGAATGTTAGAAAGTCACAAAATAAGTTATTGAAATACGACGTATTATTAACTAGATGGGCCCCCTTTCGATGAAAGGAATAATCGATTCATTAACATCAACTGAAAGTCATTGGCCTACTATTTACACTCTACTGGGATGGAGCAATGAATCTTGAGAGAAAAGTGACACATGTGTTTCCAGTTGCCAAAATATAATAGACTAGCTGGGCTCCCTTTCGATGAAAGGGATGATCGGAACATTAACATCAACTGAAGTCATTGGCCTACTACCTCGACCTTTGCGAGCGCGAGGGGTTCCAACTGCAGAACGTCGTTTTCTTTTTTGGCATGGCCAGGCGCTATCTAGATCTAGATCTATATTCTAATCTAAGACCTGTTGACGTTGTTCCCAGTAGCAAGAAAAAGAATTTGACAAAGGAGTCCTGAAAAAGCGATGATGGGCATCAAACGAAAGGATCACAGTCGAATTTAGCATTAAGTTAAAAAAAAAAGAAGAAAAAATAAGGCTAGATCTACATGGGTTGCACACTTAAAATAGTGCTCAGTATTGCGCGACAATGCGCGATAGTATCAAACGGAAGAACGACTTGAAATAAACAAACCTGGCGGATTTTCTAAAATTACAGATACAGAAGCGTCTGCATACAAAAGCGATTGGCGAAATAAAGAAATTTAGCTTTTTGTAGCAAAACTGTCTCAAAACTGAAAAAAACCGAAGGGTGTCATGATCTGGAGAACTTTATAAAGAATCTTTCTGAGAAAACCGCATATCGATCGATGCAGCCATTAAAAGGCCTTTTAAATAGCAAAATTCGGCCACCACAAATAGATAATAGATGTATAGATTGATTCTCTATTCTGCTTTCGTGGTTGTACACTCCAAAATTTCAAAGGTGTGGTATCAGTGCGCACGGTTAGGGAACGGAAACCTCACTTGTTTACAATGGCGTCTTAGAAGACGAACTTTCCCAAGATAAGATCTAAACGAAACTAATGAAAAACTGAAAATAAACTACAGTGACTTCAGACACTCATCAGTAAAACGGGGCACCCTCTGAATGATTCTGAACCACTATTATTTTTTTTCAAATTCGAAAGTTAAGTGGTTGGGAAGTTTTAGGCGGCCAAAGTGACGAACTTTCACAAATATAATATGTATAGATTACAATGGTATATACAATGTCTTAGCGGAGTCCTCTCCCCTTTCTTACTGGAGGTGTCACCTCTGACTTCGAGGATGATGTACAAATGATCCGAATAGCCCAGGGTCGCTTGCTGCCGTTCTACACTGTCATACTTAGGCCAGTGCATGCCGGGATGATAGTATTAGTCCTCGTTGTTAATTGACCGCTCTTGGTCCTTTTGCCCTACTTTTTATTTTACTCGTAATAGAAGAAGAGTATATTATGTTTATTATTATTATAACCCCACATGCCGTTACACTTCACAATCACAGCCAGCTGTCTCGAGGTCCTCTGGGACATAGCTGCAACCCTACAGTGACCTCCTAAGGTGGTCCAGGTCTGCACCGTTAGTCAGGTCAAGCACAATTAAAAGAAAAGAAGTGTATGGGGTTGTGTGAGCATATTTTTGTGGCCGGGGGCAGGGTGGAGGGCGCATAATAGATATTTAGATAGACAGATAGACAGACAGACAGACAGACAGACAGACAGACAGACAGACAGACAGACAGACAGACAGACAGACAGACAGACAGACGG